TCTTTCCAATGTGCGAATGGCCTAACGGAGCACGCTCGGGCCGCTGACTCACACGCAGAGGCCGGTGTGGCAAATAATTAATTCATTTATTTCCTCTGACCGGAAACACCGCGGCAGTTCAGTTTCTCCCACATCATTCATGAATAACTCACCACCGTGTGAGTCGTGCAGCGTTGAAAACGAGTGTGCATGTGTCAAGTTGCCACAGTGCAACTGGACGCTGGCAGAAAGAATGACACCGTGTCATTAATGATTAAGAGAAAGAGTCCATTTAAAGGTGTGATGTAATTCTCTAATTGGTGGAGGGGTGCACGTAATGAGATCAGCCGGGGTGCGCGGGAAGAGGACGCACAGCGCCGCCCACCGCGGGGCCCTGACTCACAGACACACACAGCGCCGTTCACACAAGGATCATTAAAGTGCTCTTTAACTCATTCTTTGTTTTTTTGCTGGGTTCCTTTCTGGAGAAGTCCGCACTTTTTCCTATATGAAATATGATACTGAAGGCATCGATTTCCATAATTTAATAGCAGATGGATTTTCAAGTTCCAGGCCTATGTCCGTTTATTTTCTTTGCGATTTACAAGCCTGAAATGTATTCAGAGCGTTAAAAATCTTAATTAATATTTTGTTTTAGGTTTCTATTTTATTCCTTTGCACATATTTTCACACCTTCAACTCAGGCCTTTATATCTGAACCTAGTGCTTTTTTTGGCAAAAAAAGAAAAGAAAAAGAAACAGCGTTCACAACATGGCAGCTACAGACGGTGTGATGCTGCTGCTGCTGTCCTTCACTGTGTGCAGGCAGATTAATTCAACAGCCCAGTGACAAATCCTGCATTCACTGTGTTTATACAACTCAGATTTTGCTGAATTCTTTTTTAAAGTTGCAGATTGAACTCAACTGTTCACTGTATTAATATTTTCCCACCCTGTTCATATCAAGGTGTTTCTAAATATCAAAGTCAGTGACACAGCGAGTTGGAAACACACCTTCTTAAAGACACTATCAAAATCACTCATGGAGCTGCTTGTAGTTTATAATTCTGTTACAGATTCAAATAAAACTAAACATCTGAATGAATTTTCCTCTTGTTTTGTGTGTGTGTGGGAAATTCTCAATGAATCTCCAATGGATTTTCAAATGATGGAAATAATTGAAATTTCAGATAAATACAGTGATGTATCACATGTAATACATAAATGTCATATTGTACTTGAACCTCCCACAACCGAGCCTCAGCCTTCAGTCACAAGCATTAATTCAGCTTGCTACTGATCCCATTTCCCCCATTTTTTATGTCTTAGCATTGTAAAGAACTCTGGTCTTAATGTGTGAGAAAACTGTCACTAATGTAGAGTCATACTGGAACAAAAGAGGCATGAAAATGAGGGGGAAAGCCTTCATATAGCTTGTTTTGACAAAATCCACAATGCAACAGCATTCACACTTATCTGAATTTTCTTTAAAATGCATACTGCTTTAGAAACAGTCTGTCAGGAGCCTGGAGCTGTGCTGTTAGTTCACACACAGCCCTGAATTATTATTGTTATTATGAAACTCCTGGTGGTATCACGTATTTTATAGTGACTATCAAAATTGCTTGGCTTTTGTACATTTGTGTGATCCTACGGACATTATTCATGACAAACAAACAAAAAACAATCTATAAACAAAAGCAACACGTTGTCAGCAGAGTTCTTGTCTCCCTGACAGTTCATGTGCAACCCCTCTTGAAAACCTGCATTCAAACAAACTGTCCTCAGACTATTAAATTAGCATCACTGACAAACACTGAGTAAAAATGAATGTTTGAGGCTCTGTGAAAACTTTGGCACTCAGGCCCACTGTGACCCCGTTCCTCCAGCTGGGGCCACCAGCAGAGGAACTTCAAGTCCCAAACCTCTCGAGGGATGCATTCTGACAGGCTGACTTAATGCAGAGACCTCTCTCTGCATGAGAGAGAAGAAGAAAGAAAGACTGAGGGGGATGAGAAAAACAACAAAGAGCGAGCTGAGGGTCTCAATAAATAAATTAAATCATGCAGTGTAATATAACAAATAAAACTGTCTTTGGGATTATGCTTGTCCCTGCACGCTGGCCCCCCACCTACTGTATGAAGGGAACTCAGATATTAGTGTCTAAATTACAAAACTGGTGACTCTTGTAACCCACACTACACAGACAGATTTACTGTATGTGCGCTGCCCTTGCAACCTGGTCCCGAATAAGCGGAGGAAAATGGATGGATGGATGGATGGATGCACTGCATTTTCTCTTTTCCGATTTTTTTAATGGGAGACCAATTTATCATGGGTGGGTAATGACCAGTTTAAAATCTGGTGACAAGAATTTAATCATCTCTTCTCTTAGGCTCCACTGCTAACAAAAGGGCAGTAGCTATGTGTAGCACAGGGCTACTTGTGTACTATCGATCCTGGGGAATGAATGCTGCTTTTATGGGAAACTGACACAATGAGTAAATATCCACGTGTTATCCTTTAAACTTTTAAAAGCACTGGGGCCAACAGGGAAAGCTGTATTAAAAAACACATATTGATTTTTTGAAATATTGATGTGTTGTGTTGACATATCTTGACCATCATCTTTTATTTTTTTTAAAGCACAGTTTTGTCTAGATTTAAACTGTGCAGCTGAAGTGGTTTTAAGCTTAATGAGTGCTCAGCTCCTGCAGGACCTGCTGTACTTTGGGTGAACCT